ATGGATTACCTAGGGAGGTGGTGGAATCTCCTTCCTTAGAGGTTTTTAAGGTCAGGCTTGACAAAGCCCTGGCTGGAATGATTTAGTTGGAGATTGGTCCTGCTTTGAGCAGGGGGTTGGACTAGATGACCTCCTGAGGTCCCTTCGAACCCTGATAGTCTATGATTTTAAGAGGTATGCAACTTGCAATATATCAACGGAAAAATCTGGAACATAGCAATGCCCAAAGAAGACTTTTCTCTTTCCCCCCTTTATTCTTTTAGTATGTTTGTCTTATTTCTCTGCTTTAAGTTAGTTGATTAGGGCCCTCCATAACAATCCTGCTACATTCCTCCATTTGAATTAGCATTGAGTGACCAGTGATGCTATTTCTGACTGGATGCTTTTTCTTGAACCTTTAATTTGTGTGCTTCTAGGCTTAAATTTTCAAAAGTGAATAGGGACCCAAAACCACTAATCACTTTTGAAATTTAGGCCCTTCACTCCTGCTGTTTCATTTCTTTTGTCTCTTCCATTTTCCTCTTCATTGTTTGTTTCTTACTCATTTTTCCCTTTTTCTTCTTGGAATTAAATGCACAATTTTCTATATCATATAAGCTCCTGTTCCTTTTTTAAATGGGTTTATATATGTCAGTCATTTTCAAACAAATTAAACAGTGTTAAAATATTTGTGCAGGATTTAATGTACACACACTCATATTTGATTTTTAGTTGTTTTATCTGTTTATTTATAAAAATGCATGTGTATGTTTGTGTATATGTGCATGTGTGTGTATATATATACATGCACATTTGTGTGTGTGTACATATATATTCTTGTTGCTGCATTGGTTGTCTTAACTTGCTGATACTCTATTTAAATTTAACATATATGTTTATGTTTAAGGTGCAATAGTCCTGCGTGTTGCCAAATCGTGGTTTCGTATAGGTTCCTTGGAAATTTTAGCTTATTCTGGGGAACTGGACTTGCAAAGGTTAGAATGAAATCTTCATAGTAATATCAATAAAACCTATTCAAACATGTATGTACAGTAGTAATTTAGGAAGATCACTTATTGGACTGATTCACCTGATTTTGCTATTTACTTATAAGGAAAGAAATACTATTTAATAAAGATTCAAATGCCAGATATTCATGGTAAGGGCTGCATTTAGCTGTTTGGCCTTGACCTTGCAAAAACATTCTCACGGGCTTAAATTTATATACGAGTAGTCCCATTAACTAAGCAATTGTATACATTTTTTAGGATCAGGGCTTCAGTATGTAAAAGTTTTCAGAGAGGCCTGTGTGTGCTACTGTAATATAAATATGAAATATAACAATAACAGAAGTACGTTCTGCAATATGTATTTTCCAGCAGCATGCAGGATTAAAAGGGAATAATATATGTGGGTAACAAACTATTGCAGAACTATTATAGGCTTTTTAACAATACTATAGTTTTCTCATCATTAAAATATGTTGTCCCTTAAGCAGTTTTGTTACTCAGTTTGAGAGAGCTGTTCTGTGATCTGTAATCAAGTAAGATTCCTCGGATCTTCCTCCTTTGAATCTATAGACTGATTGCTAATCACCTACAGTAGGGACTCATGCAGGTAGTGCTCAAAGAAGAAATAGCAGTTACTTTCCATAATAAGCAGTTCTTAAGATGATTGCCTGCCTGGATCCATGCTTCCTGCCCTCTGTCCCCTTTATTTTGAAATCTTACAGCAGATTTTTAATTTGTGGAAGGAACTGAATTATGGTTGAAGCTGTGCTATATAAGATTTTAGTTTATATGTGTGCAGTCCCAGTCAACAGTTTCTGAGAAAGTTCCAAGCTAAGGCACCTAGGACCTGCATGTCACTTGCTGTCAGGACCCATATAGGCAGTTCTTGGAGAACCGTATTATACTGTGGTAAATAGCTGTTTTTTATAAGGGTTTATAATTCAGCCATAAAAATGTTCTGTGTGGAGAAACTTGGCTCAGAACTTTGCCTGGTAGTGATTTTTTTCTTATAACCAAACCAGTTTGTCAGAAAATGTTATACAGGCATGTAACCAAATATTGTGCTCTAGTCAGAGAATTTAATACTTGGAGTTGTTTTAACATGACTGCTTCTAATCATGTTCTATGTGTGAAATATTAAGTTTTATTGCTAACGGATTCCATTAGGGTCTTATCCATTTCAGTTAATGGGTATTTCTTTATTGACTTCACTGGGCTTTGATCAGCCCTTTAATGTGGAGAATAAGAATGATTAGTCATCTCTTTGGCACATCAGTCCTAAAAATACTGGTTTTGCTTAAAGAACTCTTGATTCTTTTTTTCAGGACACTGCTAGACTTTGTCATACAAGAACATTTTCCATCAGTAAACATGAATGATTCAAATAGATATTTGGTGAGTATAAGAGAGACTTTCACTTTGCATGCATATTGTCAACAAAACATCATTTGTATTAACAATATAAAAATAAATTTAAAATGTTGCAAATATCACTGAAGTGGGCTTGCAGTTTTTAATCAAACAGATGTTTGCAAATATTATTCTTCAATATTCTCACAGTTCTCCCTTCAAGTATGAAGATTGTCTTTTCCTGCCCTGTTACTTTACACAAACATTTTCATTATGAAAACAACGAGGAGTCCAATGGACCTTAAAGACTAACAGATTTATTTGGGCATAAGCTTTCGTGGGTAAAAAACCCACTTCTTCAGATGCATGGAGTGAAAATTACAGCTACAGGCAAAAATATATATTGGCACATGAAGAGAAGGGAGTTATCTTACAAGTGGAGAACCAATGTTGAAGGCCAATTCAATCAGGGTGGATGTGGTCTACTCCCAATAATTGATGAGGAGGTGTCAATACCAAGAGAGGGAAAATTGCTTTTGTAGTGAGCCAGCCACTCCCAGTCCCTATTCAAGCCCAAATTGATGGTGTTAAGTTTGCAAATGAATTGTAGCTCTACAGTTTCTCTTTGAAGTCTGTTTTGAATTTTTTTGTGGAAGAATGGCTACTTTTAAATCTGTTATTGAATGACCAGGGAGATTGAAGTGTTCTCCTACTGGCTTTTGTATGTTACCATTCCTTATGTCCATTTATCCTTTTACGTGGAGACTGTCCGGTTTGGCCAATGTACATGGCAGAGGGGCATTGCTGGCACATGATGGCATATATCACATTAGTAGATGTGCAGGAAATTGTTGAAATCCAGGTGGAATCCCGTGGGTCCATATGATGAAGATGTCTTCAATGTAGCATAAGTAGAGGAGGGGCGCTAGGGGACGAGAGCTGAGGAAATGTTGTCCTAAGTCAGCCATAAAAATGTTGGCATACTGTGGGGCCATGAGAGGCAGGCCAATCCTCGCTTACAGACAGCCCCCCAACCTGAAGCCAATGCCAGCAACTACACACCATACCACAGAAACACTAACCCAGGAACCAACCCCTGTAACAAACCCCATTGCCTTCTCTGTCCCCATATCTACTCTAACGACACCATCATAGGACCCAACCACACCAGCCACACCATTAGGGGCTCATTCGCCTGCACATCTACTAATGTGATATATGCCATCATGTGCCAGCAATGCCCCTCTGCCATGTATATGTATCGCTTGTAAGGTAACTCTCTTCTCTTCACGTGCCAATATATATTTATGCCTGTATCTGTAATTTTCACTCCATGCATCTGAAGAAGTGGGCTTTTTACCCACAAAAGCTTATGCCCAAATAAATTGGTTAGTCTTTAAGGTGCCACCGGACTCCTCGATGTTTTTGTGGATACAGACTAACACGGCTACCCCTCTGATATTTATTATGGTAATATCTCATTCTCCATTAATGTTTGTTCCCCTTAGGCCCTTCATATACTAACCATAGACTAGTGATGGAGTGCAGGATCATGCTGTACCCTAAATAAATGCAATATCATTACTATAACACTTTCGTTTTAGCATTATTGCTACTGCAGCTGAATTTGTGCATTGTCACACAGCTCTGGGTGTTCTTGGATAAGATCATCATGCAGCCAACTCATTGAGAGTGCCATGTAAAAGTTCTGACAGGCATAAAAAAGATGTGCCCAAATATTAAAAAGAAAACAGTATAATGTGCCAACTGTTATTTTTAAATAAATTATATATTTGATAACATACTGTTTATCCGTATTTATTAATGAAAGGGTTTGAAGTGAAAAATGTATTTGATTTCAGGACTTTTTCTCTAGAGTGGTGTTGGAGACTGCAAATCTGATTGCATTGTGGATGTCAGTGGGCTTTGCTCATGGTAAGCAATGATAGCTCAATTAAATTATTGGTGTGGTAATTGTAAAATATTAAGGTCTGTTAAAAGTCCCTTTACCCGTAATAAACTCAAAGCCTTTTGGTTTTGGTATTTGTTTTGTTTAAATTCCCTAGAATGTATCAGTGTTTGTTAAAAAAATTAAAAAACGAGTTAAAAACGGTGCAAAAAACTAACTTCACAGTTTTTTGGGTAATTATCAGGGTTAATATTGGGGGGGACAGGAGGATGGAAAATAGCAACAAGTAGAGAAAAGTAAGAGTATTGAAAGTTTAAAATAGTTTAATGCTGTGGTTTATTTCATGAATTGCATATTAACAGTACGTAGGTATATGCACGTGTGCATGCGTCCGTGTGTGTATCTTCCAGGACATTGCCTTACTTTAACAGACAGCCCCACACTTACACTTATATTAATTTATTATTAGCATTAACACATTTATCTAATATAATGTATTGGATTTTCTTAAGATAATTAGTATTTTCATGTACTTGAAGGGTTCAAAGTTCAGGTGAAAATCAGTAAAAAACAAAAAAAAAATTAGCTTTTGTAAAACCTGGGGATTTTTTGATAGAGATCGGTAAAAATCAAAAATGAAGGTCCTTACATATACTTAATAATGGCTTTTGCTTCGTCATGTTTAATTCTTCTCTTTTTGTCCTTTATTCCAAACTTTTTGGCATTTTTGCCTACAACAATACCCCTGTTGTTGTTTAGCACTTCTGCAAGTTTTCTCTGACAGAGTCAAGAGACGTTTTGATTTTCAAAGTGCAGACAGATTAGGCAGAGGCAAAAGACTGGCATAGTACATGGGCTTCTCAAAAAATTCTTTAAGAAGGGTTGCTGGTTAGTGGCAAAGAACACAGTTGTATCAATATTACTTATTTCGGTCAGTCTACTGGATTTTTTTTAAAGTGAACACTTTAGATGATACAGTACAGTGGTTGTTTTTGAAAGACAGTTGCACTGACGTAGCACTAGTGCATATAATAGTGTTTTGTACTATATGCAGAGACCACATGTTGGTGTCATATAATTGGCATGAGTTTGTGATGCCTTCATTAGATCCTATCTTATATAGTCAGATAGTGCAGTGGTGGGGCCATATCAGTACCTAAATTCACTGATACATGAATTTATTGGTACAGCATCATGGGAATACTTGTTTATTTGGAAAACCACTGTACTATCAATGTGCTATGAAACTTTGTTTCAGAATTATACCCCATAAGGAGAATCAGCATGATATTGCTAATATAGCGCACACACAACTCACAAGGAAAGGAAAATAATTGATCAAATGTACATGAGGTAGTCATAGTTCCTCAATGTTGCCACTGAAAGTAAAAGAAGACAGTGCCATATAGGCATAGAAACCAGATGAGATATCACAGAGACATCAGATGTTTTCAGTTTTGATATATAAAATGCCTGCAAAGTTGGGAACAAGGGATTTAGCTTAAAATCCAGACTCTCATCTGCTGGGCCCAACTTTAGATATTGTAATTTAGATCCACCGTAATCTAGGCTTTTCAGCAAATTTTCTGCTTTTGATAAATCAGTAGTGTTTAGACTAAACAACTTTATTGTTTTGATAGTTGTATTTTTGTTGTTGATTAATTCTAGGTGTGTGCAATACAGATAACTTCAGTTTGTTATCCATAACAATAGATTATGGTCCATTTGGTTTTATGGAGTCCTATGATCCAAGTGAGTATAGCACATGTATTTGAATATACCTTTTGTGTTGGACATGAAATTCCTTCTTATTGTGTTAAGTTATATAATTTTTGTTTGCTCAGAAAGTTATTAACATTATTAGCACATGGATTCTGCATATGTGTACTGCATGTACATTGGTCAGAAAATAAATTTTGTGCATCTAGTTGCATTTTAGATAAGAGAGTAGTTTTACTGTGTATTATACAAGTTATATTTTAAACTTTACACTAAAAAACTTGCAGATAATGTATATTACTACTAAACCCATTTCCATGAAGAATCTCTCATACTGACATTCATCAGATTCCCAGATGCTATAGCAGAAATCAAGAAAAATCTGTAAAAATTGAATACAGCTAAAAGTATCCAAAAGCAAAATCTGTCATCTTTTATCATTTTGACTTTAGTCATAACTGTTAATCCGGGGGCGGGAGGAGGGAGTCAAATCTGCCCAGTTATGACACTCTACTGTAAATCTTTCATTGAAAGCATGAATTACATTACTCTCTCCAGCTGTAATAAATAGACATAGGTCCAGAAGATGGTGTTCAGATGTACATTACATTTAGGCTGGGGTTTGGAAGTCAAATCATGGCTGGGGGTCAGGCTCAATGGTGTTGAAATCTCACTGTCTATTTTCATAAGATTTCAGGCTCAAATGATGAAAATCTCCTGAAATCTGATCTTGTACACCTTGGGCATATCTCAGCTGGAACCTTAAAAGAGGCTCTTCTAGTTTTCTTTTTTTCCCTGAAGCCAAACCAGAGGAGTGGATGTAGATCTGGGGATTCAGATTTGAACATGTGCCTCAGCTCCCAAAATTCACAGCTTTGTAGGTGGGCTGGGGAGGAGAGTGGGGTTGCATTTGAAGTAGTGTTTTGGGCCCACCTCTAATAACAATGAATCAAACAAAGTAGAATTCCTATTTGACACCAACTCTGAGGTGCTGTTCCTAGTCACAGTCCTTGTTTCCTTCTGAGTGCCGGGGCTGATCCCCATTAGTATTGCTTCTGGTAGTAGCTTCCTCAGAGAGTACAAAGGAGGATCCAGGAGGACAGCCTTTCCCCTCATAGACACCGACCAGCAGAGCTGGCCCTGTTCTGGACAAGACGTGCATGCTGCATCCTTTCTGAGGTTGATGCTGTGGCTATGCTTACCCTTTGCTCCTGGATGCATTATGCCTTTCATGAAGGGAATGCATTTGCCAATTCGCCACTCCTCAAAGTGAACTTTCTTGGGCTGGAACATTTTAGCCCTAAATATTTCAGAAGCAAATATATAATTATATACATTTTGAAATAATCTTTATGTTCAGATAATTAGTGTCACTAGGCTACTTAAAAATATATGCATCTCATTTACTTAGATTACATCGTAAAAATATATTGTTGTTTGGAAGACCGGAATCCCTAGGCATCTAACCATATGATATTTAATAGTAGCATTATTTATATTAAAGAATACTGAAAAACATTATTCAGAGTGTAAAAAAAAAAAGGCTATTTAAATATCTGAATTTATTCTGTGTCTTGAAGTAGGAAAACAACACTTGTGACCATCTGGGAACTTGTGCTCTAAGAATGTATTCCTTACTCTGGCAAATGTTAGATCTCGGGCTAATCCAGTGTAAATAAATATTCTTGTGTTTGGAGTACTCTGAGTTAATATTTAGTGCTTGCAGGACTTCTATTAGTTTGCTGTGTAAATATGAAAAATTAGCCTAGTTTAATATTTTAACTTTGGTTGTTTATTCTAATTAATCTGTTGTAGAAATGTGATGCTTTGTTTCAAACAGATTTTGTTCCAAACACATCTGATGATGAAAGGAGGTATAAAATAGGAAACCAAGCAAATGTTGGGATGTTTAATCTGAACAAGCTGTTACAAGCTCTAAAACCTGTATTGGATCGCAGACAAAAGCAGCTGTAAGTTATCCTTAAAAATATCTTCAGACTTAAAAGAACTAGAGAGATATGCTATAATGGCCATATGTGTAGGAGAAAAGGGGGCTATCTTTTTAGGAAGTTTGATTTCTAAACAGAAAGTATTTTCTGGATATGTTACAGGCCAAACAAGACTGTTTTTAAAAAAAATTAAAAAAAAAATACCAAAATGGGGTAAGAGGGAAGTTTTTCATAAATAGGTACAAGCCAGAGGAAGGTTTCACACTTGAATGTGAAGCTGAATTGTGTCTTTGGTATTACTGTTGGTCAATAGGATTTGATATTTCCTTACTTTTATAGTGCTTTCCAGATTCTGGAGGGATACTCTGAGCATTATTATACCCGGTATGTACTTCCATAACTCAGATTTTAAAGAAGCATATACTATAGAATATGTTTTTGGAACAATTTCTTTGCCTTCATAATTTCTGTTACTACTTTCAGTTTTACAGAACTATTTAGAGCAAAATTGGGTCTCCTTGGGGAGAGTGAGGATGATAACTATTTGATTGCATTTCTCCTAAAAGTGAGTTTATTATTGGTCATTCTTTTGGGGATATTTGAACTGATGTCTAATATTTTAAAAACACTGATAGAAATGTATTTAATTTCATTAGCTCATGGAAGATTCAAAGGCTGATTTTACAATGGCATTTCGGCAGCTCAGTGAGATTACTCAAGACCAGCTAAAAGAGCTCCGTATTCCTCAGGTATTAATTAATACATGATATTTTAGGAACATCTTACTGGCCTTTGAGCTCACCTAGGCAAGTATGGAATGAATAAGTGAGTAATTAAGGTTACATAGTGAAAACTGCATGCATCAAATTTTCAGTTACAGGCATAACATGGACACTCACAGAACTATATCCACACACAACTTCACTTGCATGAATGCCTGCATACATCAGATATGTCTTCTGAGCACCTTCAGCCACATTAGATGAAAGGATTGCTAAGAGAACTCCATCTCCTAACATGTTTTATTGCTTTTAAGTGTATATGTTTAAACAGCAGAAATATTAATGGGAAAAAAACTACTTTTGTTAATAAAGAGATAGCTAAAAGCAGTTCTTCATAAAGCATATATGGTATCTTCAAAGTTTACATTCTACAGCCTTTACAGATAAGGACCCCACATCTGCCAACTTTATATTTCTTCTTTGAGCAGTGTCCACGTCAGGTGAGCTCACACCCTTGCGCCTTTAATCAGATTTTTGGTGGTAGTGCCTATTTGGCCTGTGCATGTGACCTACGCTTCCTTGGGCCCCGACTTACACAAGCGTTCTGTTCCAGAACGCCTTGCGTAACTCGAATTTTGCGTAAGTCGGGAACGTATACCCGACCATTACGCGCAAAAAAAAAAAAAAAAAACTTTCTAGCTTACGGAATTTACGAAACTTTTCCCGTAAGTGCGGATTTGTGTAAGTCGGGTTTGTGTAACCTGGGGAGCGTTTGTATAGGGCTGCATGGGTGAACTGGCCCAGTTCCTTCTCAGCCTCCTGGGCCTAACACAAAGCATTAGTGTGCCTTATTTTTGAAGTTTCTGAGCCTGGTTACCCTTCTTTAGTTTATTGTTTTTTCTTTAGTTATTTTATTTACTTTTTATTTAGGGGGACTTTCTCTTGATCCCTTTCCTCTTTGGGGAGGGAAAACTTCCCATATTAAATTCCTTTGCCCTGGGGTATGTCAGGCTTTCCAGGCTTCAAGTAGTGCATCTCTTACCGGGAGGCCATTCCATTCAGTGACTGGCATTCCCGTTGTCTCTGTTGCTTGGGGGTGTCTCGTATCCCGCATAAGTGCTCCATCTGCTCAACTTTTAAGGGCAGGGCAAGAAAACATTGAGAGCTAAAACTGAGACTCTTAATGATGGAGCATTCCCTCCAACTGGCCTCAGATCCAGGTCAGGAGACCCCCTGGATGTCAGTCACTTAATTAACACAGTGCCCTGTCAACTTTGACCTGTTTACCTGAGGTAGATCCACAGAGAAGACCCATAGAAAACAAAGTCATTCTCCAAAGAAAGAGTCCACTTCAAAAAGACCTCAGTCTCCACAGAGCAAGACTTCTGCGGAGACCTTGCGTCCCACCTTGGGTATGGCTGAGGCTCCAGATGCTCTCGGAATTGATCCTGTGCCTCAGGAGCCAGGCTCAGCAGAAGAAAACATGCTTCATTGAAGCATTCCAAGGCTCAGAAAACGGTACCCGCAACTTCTTTGATAAAGTCTATATCTAAGTTGGCCACTAAGATGGCGTCAGTACCAGGAAGACACCATGCCTCTTATCCAGTCTCTGCACTCCCCAAGGCATCTTCATCAGTACCATGTATTTCAACTAGAGTGGACTTGCGAGAACAGCATATACCCTCAGTACCAACAATGGAATGGCGCCCCACTCTTCAAACCAACCCGGTATCATAGGAGTTCAGATTCTCAAGGGATCTATTTGTTTCAGAGAGGCCAGAGTCTCCCTTATTGATCAGTACCAGGAGGTTATCAGTACCAAGAAAAGCACAGTCACTGAGATGCGACCTTTCCCCAGTACCGCTTGACTCGCCAGCATCTTCAGAGAGTACCGGTGTTTCCCTTCTTGAAGAGGAGAAATTTTCCTCCAATTTGAATATTTTGATCCAGGGATTTCTATCCTGACACTTCTGATAAGAGAGTTGCATCAAAGGCCCGTGTATCCCAGACCTTGTTCAAGCACAAGTGGTTGCCACCCCTGTCAAGGCTGATTCCCCACTCTGGCACTTTGAGTGCAGAAGGTGGGGGCCTGCAAGGACTCTAAAAATTAATACTTGCCACTCCAGGCTTGTATTAAACTCCCAAGGTTGCAGCTTTTCTCTGACCTTGGATTGGTAGATGCTGCCACCACTCAAGTGCAGAACCTCTTTGAGAGACCAGGAAGGCTCACTTGGGAATTCCTTCCTGTGGGATACCCTCAAGCCCTTTCACTCCCGCTCTCCCCCCCCCCCCCCCCCCGGGGAAGAGATGAAAAAAAGAACAACCAAAAAAAGGAAATTAGCTGTTGCCACCAGCTAATTAAACAACATGTGCAAACCTCTTAAGACACAAAAATCTTAAGGTAAATTTGATTTAAAAAAGAAAGTAAGGAAAATACATCGGGGAACTCAGCTATTGCTAGACTTTTTAAAAGAGCAATTACAAGGATTAAGCACTAAGAATAGTTTTTTTTTTTGAGGTCCAGCTTAAAGGTTACAAGCAAAACAAAAGCACCGGGGTTAGCACAGCGGAATCCACAAGCCATAAAGAAATAAAGGGATAAACCTAATCGCATCTTCCTAGACATTTCCTGATCTACTTACATATCTGGGGTTTCAAATGAGTAGTTTCTAGGTATGATACTGATGATTTTTCATACCTGGCCCCAAGCTTTTTACAGCATCGCTGCTCTGTCCCCCTCTTCCCAGGAGAACAACCACAGACAGACAAAGGGAAAGTTTTTTCTCAATTTTAAAAAGTTCAAGCCTTCCCATTGGCTCTTTTGGTCAGGTGCCCACTCACTTCCTTTTACCTATGCATAACAATGAGACTTTTTAAATCTTTACAGGTAAAGCAAGTAGAGAACAGCTACTAAGAGGTATTTTATAGCTAACTGGCTGGCTGGGTGTCCATAAAAGGGAGTTACCGCCCCCCCTTCATTTATCACAACCCCCGATGCCTTTTGGTCCTTCTCAGAGGCCTACTGGGATCCATCAGCAGTTTTACCATGCCCCTAGTCTCTCTTTCAGGAAATACAGGAGAGAAGCTCCTGTACTCCAACTTTGGGGGGAGGGATAGCTCAGTGGTTTGAGCATTGGCCTGCTAAACCCAGGGTTGTGAGTTCAATCCTTGAGGGGGCCACTTAGGGATCTGGGGCAAAATCAGTACTTGGTCCTGCTAGTGAAGGCAGGGGGCTGGACTTGATGACCTTTCAAGGTCCCTTCCAGTTCTAGGAGATGGGATATCTCCATTAATTTATTTATTTATTTATTTATTTATTTATTCTCCTCCTCTCTTACCTCAGGCACCTTTGGGGGCAGGAGGCCAGGGCAGATAAAGAGGTCACTCCCCAAACAAACATTTCTTCATCTTCCCCAGGTGAAGCTGTTATACCTCCCACACTGACTGTGGCTGACGACTTTGGATACTTCTAAAAGTTAATGAAGTGCATTGCAGATTCCCTCCAGATCAGGGAGTCACAACATAAGCTCCTGGACATCCTCCAATGGACTCCCTCTACCTGAGTTGACCTGCCTACTAATGAGGCTCAGTTGGATCCTGCCAAATCCATCTGGGAGTCCCCTGCGATGATTCTGCTGAAGTGCAAATGGGCCTATAAGAAAATATTACATCCCGGCTAAGGACTCTGAATTTCTGTTCACCCATCCAACACCAAAGTCCTTGGTTGTGGAGGCAGTAAATGAACATGGCAGACAATGTTATGCGAAGGCCTCGCAATATGATAAGGACCAAAAATGCTTTAATCTATTCAGCAGAAAGATCTATTCATCCATGACTCTTCAGTTTAGGATCGCGAACTATCAAGCTCTCATGGCTAAATAAAATCACGCAAATTGTGCCAAATTCACCACCTTTATTGAGCATCTGCTGGATGATCAACATGACCAGTTTCAGGCTATTGTTAATGAGGGTCATCTGTTAGCTAGAACATCACTACAGGCCTCTTTGGATGCAGCCGATACTGCCACTCAATCCATCTCTATGGCAGTAGTCATGCAGAGGACTTCCTGACTCTAGCTGTCTGGATTCCCAAGGGAGGTCCAAATCATGGTTGAAGACCTCTCTTCGATGGCCTCAAACTGTTTGCTGAGTCCACTGATGATTCACTATGTACCCTTAAGGATTCCAGAACCACATTAAGATCCTTTGGGATTTACATGCCTACAAACAAATGAAAATTTAGTAGATCCCAAACTGCACAAAGATCCCTTCCCACTTCATTCTCAGGTTTTCAGAGACCATATCAACCACCCAGGAAAAAGTCAAGGTTCCAGAGGAAGAGATCACCTGCTCCTTCTGCACCATCATTATCATCTAAGCGTCAGTTTTGATGGACTGGTCAAGGGCCCGGAACTATCTCTCAATACCAAGCTACACATACAACATTTTACCCATCTTCCGCTCTACGGAAATTGTTTCTCCCATTTTCTTTCTGCATGGGAGAGAATCACATCAGACAAATGGATGCTAGAGGTCATAAGATCAGGATACACTATACATTTTACCTCCCTTCCCCATCCCTCTTCAGGGACCTCTCTCCTGAGCACCTCTTAAAGCAAGAAGTTAACTCACTTCTGCAAATGGGTGCAATAGCACCAGTTCCTATTCTGTACAGAGGGAAGGGGTTTTATTCCAGCTACTTTCTGGTCCCGAAAAAGAACAGACAGTGGAGACCAATTTTAGATCTAAGACTCCTAAACAACTTTTGTCAAGTCTCAAAAATTCAGGATGGTGTGACTTACGTTTATAATTCAGTGATTACAACTGGGGGATTGATTTTTAGGCTTCAACCTTCAGGATGTCTATTTTCATATCGCAATTCACGCATTTCACAAATGATTCCTGTGCTTTTCAGTAGACCAGGATTACTTTCAATATTGAGTGCTCCTGTTTGGCCTTTTGTCTGACCCAAGAGTGTTCTCAGAAGTGCTGGCAGTGGTCACAGCTTATCTTTGACATCAGGGGAT